TGCAAGCCCCGGAGCCCGCGCCGAGCGCCACCCGCCGCCTGCCCGGCCGGCCCCCTCCCTGGCACGCAGGGCTCCGGCCCACGTCGGCCCCGCCTCCGCCTGCGCCCCGCCCGCCCGCGCGCTTGCCGCTCGCCGCTCGCGGCCCGCCGCCCGCCGCCGCTGCGTCCTCCCCGGCGCTTCCCAGCGCGCCGGATCCCGGGGAATTGCGCCAGGCTCCGCCCCGCACCTGCCCCTAGGCTTCCTGGGACTTGTAGTCCGCGCCGCGCCGCGCCGCGTCGGCGCCCCGCCGGGACCGCGGGGAGGAGGCGCGCACGACGCCCGGGGCCCGCGTGCGGCAGGGGCCCTGGGGGCGAGGGGCGGCCTGACAGGCTAGCAGACCCGCGACGCGGCAGGGCCCCTGCCCTAGCCTCTCTACGAGTCTCTGCGCTGCCCCGCGGCTGTCCCGCTGTCTCGGGACCCGGGAGGCGGTGCGCGACCCCGCCCGCGTTTTTGTTTGTTTCTGAACGGCTGGTTAGAGGAGCCTCTGCGACTCGCCGTGTCCCCCGACCGCACTTTGTTGCTTCCCCTCCCCCCAGCCCCAGTTTTCACTTGCTGTCTCCTTTTGCGAAAGTGACACGAGTGCTTCCTCTAAATAAACTAAATTTCTTCCCGAAGGCGAAGAGCCTCCTTAGCCGTGGCGGCGTGGGTATTCACACTCCAGGAGTGAAGTTTAGACGAGGACACGAGGTGCTGTGAAATACCACGGAGACTCCCTAGGCATCCTTTTCCTTTAAAATTAAAAAAAAAAAAAAAAAAACAAGCAAACTGAGATGTGGGTCCCCAGCCTGTTCACCCACCCCAATCCCAGCGTAAGCTCAGCGCCCGGGACCCCGCGGAGCCTGACCGCACTGCAGCAGTAGGCCCAGCGCGCGCAGAAGGCTAATCCCGCAGGTTCGAGGCAAACCGGATAGTTGCAGATGTGCTGAGCACCGGCGCCAAGTTTGTGCGCACTAGCCTGGTCCCTGTCCCCGCCCATCCAAGTGACCTTTTGGAAACGCGAGTCTGCTGCCCTGGCATCCCTGATCAAAGCCAGCTGAGTCTTCACCTGGTTCATGTGCAGCCTGCGTGTGGCTTACTCACCCTGGTATCCAGCTTCCTTGGGTTACACTCTGGGCTCACAGTTCCCCCAGACAAATGTGCCGACCACCTTCAGCACTCTGAGCCCTTGCTCATGCCTTCCTCCCTATCCCCAGTCCCAGCAGGGTCCCCGATGCCTGAGGCAGAGTTCGAGGCTCCCTCTGTGATATGCCTCTGGCTTTGCTCTCATCCTACCTAACTGTAGTAACTGAGATGCCGACAATGTGCCCTCGTCTTACTTAACCTCTCAGCAGTCATTGGTCGCTCCCCTCCTTGAACCTTTCTCCTGGCTGCTGGGATAACATGATCACCAGGCTTTCCCACTACCTTCCCGGCTTCTCAGCCCGGTTTCTGATCCCGTCTTACTCCTGTAACCTTTAAATATGGGGAGCCCCTGGGGCTCATCTCCGGGTCTCTTTTCTATAAGCGGGGAATCTCTGTCTTTTGTGTGTGAATATTATATACGGGTTAATGAACCTCAAATTCATATCTCTAGCCCAGACCTCAACCCTAAATCACAAATTCATATCCAACGGCTTCCTCAGCATCTCTTGGATGCCTGCTGACAACTGAAATCTAACATGTCTCAGACTGAACTCTTGTTATGCCCTCTTTTCTGCTCCTCCTGAAATCTTCTCTGTTCCAGTTATGGGCAACTCCAGGCCTCCTTTTGCTCAGGCCAACAACCATCCTTGATGCCTCTCTCCCCCATACCCCAAATAGTGTCAGCTCTACCTCCCCAAGATCCAGAATCTCACAGCTTCTCACCACCCCGCTGCCACCAACCTGCTAAAGTCGTGATCATCTTGCCTCTGGGTTATTGCTAGGAAATTGGTCTAGCAATTGATCTCCTTGCTTCTTATCTTGTGCCCTTACAGTCTGTCCTCAAGAAGGCAGCCCTGGTGACCCTTATAAAACCCAAGTTAGGTCATGTTAAGCCTCTGCTCAAAACCCTCCCGTGACTCCTGTCCCATTCAGAGTAAAATTCAGCTCTTTACTGTGGTCTCCAAAGCCATACACACACTAGAGCCTATCAAGACCTGTGCGGGGTGTGATGGTTCCCCCTACCTGTAAGCTAACAAGGTAGCCTGCCAAAGACACGAGACTCCTGGGTCAGAAACAAAGGACTTTATTATTCATAGCAATCACAGTAGCTAGAGGATCAGCATTTTCATGAGCTGGTAGTTAACGGAGCCCCAGTTCCCAGAGGGCCAAGAGGTCCATTTGCGCATATAGTGGATTGACCTATAGGAGGGGAACCCTGAGCTTAGAGAACCCCAATCTTTTATATGGGCAGTAAGCATTCTGCCCTATAACTGTGACAGGAAACCCTGTCTTCATCTCCCAAGGCTGTTTACTCTACAGAAGTTCTTGAAAAGATAGTTCAGAAGAAAGGCGGTCAAAGCCACAACTACTGAGCCCATGTGCCACAACTACTGAAGCCCGTGCACTCTAGGGCCTGCGTACCGCAACTACTGAGCCCGCATAGTGCAACTACTGAACCACATGCCTGTCAAAGCCACAACTACTGAGCCCATGTGCCACAACTACTGAAGCCCGTGCACTCTAGGGCCTGCGTACCGCAACTACTGAGCCCGCATAGTGCAACTACTGAAGCCCACATGCCTAGAGCCCATGCTCTGCAACAAGAGAAGCCACCGCAATGAGAAGCCCGTGCACTGCAACAAAGAGTAGCCCCTGCTTGCCGCAACTAGAGAAAGCCCGTGAGCAGCAGCGAAGACCCAACGCATCCAAAAAAAATTTTTTTAAAGAACAAAGGCAGTCCATGCCTCTTCACTCAGACATGCAGAAGTGCAAGAGACCTAGGGAGGATTATCTCCCCCAGCTCCTTGGTACCTCCCACCAGAGCATCTGTCCTTCTGCCCCATTCTCCCCTCTTTAGCCACGCTGCCTGGCCTCCTTGCTGTTCCTTAAATATACCCGGCACACACCCGACTCATGTATTTGCACACGGTGTTTCCTCCGTCAGGAATGCTCTTCCCCCAGCAATTTCAGCAGCTCCATCGTTTCCTTCACACATTACTCCAAAGCCACCTTCTCCATGAGGCCTCTTCTGACATCCTGTCTAAACTGGCATCCCTGTTCACCAACACTTCACGTCTTCCTTCCTCGCTGTGGCAGGAAAAATCATGGCCCCCAAACGTGCCCACGTCCTAATCCCTGAAACCTATGACTATGTTATCTTACATGGCTTTGCAGATGCAATGAAGTCAATGATGCTGAGATGAGATTATCCTGGACTCTCTGGGTGGGTCCAATGTGATCACAAGGGGTCTTATAAGAGGGGAGGCATCAGAGGCAGAGTCAGAGAAGGAGCTATGAGGATAGATGCAGGGATGAGAGGGAGAGAGAGAAGTTGGAAGATGCTACACTGCTGGCTTTGAAGATAGAAGGATGGGACGATGAGCCAAAGAGAATAGGTGGCCTTTAGAAGCTGGAAAAGGCAAGAAAATGGATTCTCTCCTAAAGGTTACGGAAGGAATCCAGTCCTATCAACTCATTTCTGACTTGTGACCTCCAGAACTATAAGATAATAAATTTGTATTGTTTACACCACTATGTTTGTGCTAATTTGTTACAGCAACAATAGGAAGTTAATACACTTGCTTAAATTTTTCTTAGCAGTCGTCCCCATCTGATACAGTACATACTTTACTTAGTTAGTTACTTAGTTTGGGTGTGTTCTGTGTCCCAACCAGGATATAAACTCTATGAGGGCCAGGATTTCTGTCTGCTTTATTCCTTGTTCTAGCTCCAGCACCTATAAGTGCCTGACACATAGTAGGTGTCAATAAATGCTTATCAAATTAATGGCTTCCCCCATTAAATTGTAATTTCCATGAAGACAAGGACCATCTCTCTTCTGCACAGTCCTTGGTCACTGTAGGGGCAATGAATATTCCACAAGTTAACCGATGAAAAATAGTAAATATCTCTCCTAAGGTAAGGGCCCCCCTCCCATCGTACCAGGCACATAGTAGGTGTTCAATAAATATTAGCTGAATTGAAATGAAAGTTAGTTTTTCTAGTGACATGAGACCCAGTGGCATTTACAAGGAGGTTACTGGAGATTCATCTTTTGTGAATACAGCCAAGAATTCGGGCCTATTTTGATATGATAGTCCTTCCAAGGACTTTAATTTGTGAGTGAAAACTTTACTATGAGAGCAAGCTGGCTCTCAAAGTAGTGAATTTCTCCTGTCACCAGAAATATCAAGGAAAAGCCTGATAACCATCCCCTTCATTCATTTGTTCATTCTCTCATTTATTCATTCAACAGATCTTCTTTGATCACCTACTCTGTCCTAGACAGGGTGCTACATTCTAGAAATAGAAAGACAGAAAAGATGATGCCTGCCCTTAGAGAGCCTCCATTCCAGGGGACTATCTGT